CACATTTTACACTGTAACCTAGGACAAGTGTTTAGAGGAGAAATGCTCAATGTTTGTGGGGAGAAGACACACTCAAACACATGCACTTGGCCTGATGTGCATGATCCTGGTGGGTCATGAGGGACTGGGACTGTGTGAAGCAGGTAAGGGGAGTCGGGCTTGAAGCAGGTGCTGTGCTGGCGACTGTGTGTGTGGCAGGATGATCCTGTGACAGATCCTGCAATACTCAGATCTTGTATTTCTAGGCAGTCCTTAGTCATTGGCCTTCACCCACTGGCTTCCCTGCTGTGATCCATGAAACTACTTTCCCTGGGCACTTCAGATGAGCCATCCAGAGGGACCTTGTCAAGCTGGAGAGGTGGGCCCAGGCCAACCTCATGAAGTTCAACAAGGCCAAGTGTAAGGTCCTGCACCTGGGTCAGGGCAACCCCAAGCACAGATACAGGCTGGGCGATGAGTGGATTGGGAGCAGCCCCGGGGGGAAGCACTTGGGGGGGCTGGTGGGTGATAAGATGAACGTGAGCCAACAGTGTGTGCTCACAGCCTAGAAAGCCAACCACATCCTAGGCTGTATCAAAAGAAATGTGGCCAGCAGGTCAAGGGAGGTGATTCTGCCCCTCTGCTCTGCCCTCATGAGACCCCACCTGGAATACTTGTCCAGCTCTGGAGCCCCCAACTCAAGAAAGACATGGAGCTGCTCGAGCAAGTCCAGAGGAGGGCTACCAAGGTGGTTGGAGGGTTGGAACACTTCTCCTATGAGGACAGACTGAGAGAGTTGGGCTTGTTCAGCCTGGAACAGAGAAGGCTCCACGGAGACCTTATAGCGGCCTTCCAGTACCTGAAGGGGCCTGCAGGAAGGGTGGGGAGGGACTTTTTACAAGGGCCTGCAGTGACAGGATGAGGGGTAATGGTTGGAAGCTAGGAGAGGGCAGGTTTAGACTAGATATTAAGGAAGAAGTTCTTCACCCTGAGGGTGGTGAGACACGAACAGGTTGCCCAGAGCAGCTGTGGCTGCCCCCTCCCTGGCAGTGCTCAAGGCCAAGTTGGATGGAGCCTTGAGCAACCTGGTCTGGTGGGAGGTGTCCCTGCCATGGCAGGGGGTTGGAACTAGATCATCTTTGAGGTCCCTTCCGACCCAAACCATTCTGTGATTCTATGATTATAGGCTGTGAAGCACTTCCCAGAGTAATGGTAATGCAAGGAGGAGCGTAGGTCTGTAGTGTCCCAGGAAGAGCGCACACAGAGCTGTACCTGGCCCTGGCATGGCTTCTCCGTTCCTTTCTGTTGCTTTGAATTGTGGAAAGTGGAGGGCCCTCTAGTAAAGCAGTGAGGGGGCATTGAAATTCTCCTGTAAGCTCGAAGAGTGTATGAGCTTTTGTGTGCTGCTTGTTGTATGTGTCAGTAAATGTGAACTCTGGAGGAAAATGAGTTAGAAAGTGTGAGAACAACTGCAGAAAAAATCTTCTAGTACATGGGTCATCTTGCTTAAGTTTTATTTCCTGTTTCCACGACAGGTTCAGAAATACTTTCTGTCAGCTATTATGTAGATCTGCGATAGTGAAGGAGTCCTCCTTGGCAAAGCCTGTCTCTTTTGGACTGAGGCATTGTGCCAGATAGTGCTTGGAAGTATGCAGCAGGCAGAAGGAAATGGCTAAAACCCAGCCCCAGTTGGATGATCATCTCCTCTGGGGAAGCACCCAGGAGACACAAAGAGCCTGAACTTCCAGAGCTGAGCCCTAAAGCTGTGCTGCTGCCCAGCACTGATGGTCATGAGCATCATTTGCTTAAAGTAGATTTGGGAATACAGTTTTGTAATACTTATGGTCTCATTTAAGTCATTTGGTTTCCATGTGTGTTGCCCAGTTTTCACAGAATGGTCAGGGTTGGAAGGGACCTCTGGAGATCACCGAGTCCAACCCCGCTGCTGAAGCAGGTTCACCTAGAGCAGGTTGCACAGGATCGCATCCAGGGGGTTTTGAATATTTCCAGAGAAGGAGACTCTACAACCTCTCTGGGCAGGGTGGCATGTCCCTGCCTTGGGGGTTGATTGGGGTGGTAGGAAGGCATGAAGTGTTGATCACTGAAGCTGACATCTGGCTGACCATCTCACTGCCTCAAAATGTTCAGAAAAGGCCTTATGAACAGAATGTACGTTTCTTTTGCAGTGTCCCTCTTTGTCAGTTTGTGGCTTGCAGGGTGGTTACCTCGTTTTTGTCTGAACTAGCACAGCGCAGTGTTTCTAACTTCGTTTCTTTGCTTCTCTCTTTCCAGCGGATCGTTGTAAAGAAGTACAGCAGATCCGAGAGCAGCATCCAAACAAAATCCCGGTGAGTTATTGTTCTTGCTGTTCTGCATTAGACTTTGTTCTCATGACCCCGTTGTGCTGCTGGATAGCCTTCACCAGCCAGCCACAGATACAAAACTTTGCTCCCCAGAAGCAGCACAGGACATTCTCCATAAGACTCCAGTGCTTTGTGCATGCCAGCTGCTCAATAGTAGACCACATTCTCAGCAGTGCAAAATACAGTCTTTCTCTTAAACTTCATGCCTGCCCAAGGAACTGATTTGATCTCAAATCTACTTCCAAGCTACTGCAGCAGGAGAAAACTCTGAAATGGCCTTTGTCTTGTTGTTGTTGTTGTTGTTGCAGTAGCTCCTGACTTTTCCTGGATAACCTGGTAAGGATTTCTCTGCATCTGCCCAGAGAAAGAAGTGTGAGATGATCTTCACTGTATTGAAAGCAAAGAGACTCTGTTAGGATTAATTCTCACCACAGCAGCCAAGCAGTCACAGCCGTTCTATGCTTTCCCAGCATATGTTGTTGACATGTGTAGGTGAAACTCCATGAATTGCCTCCAGTTCTTCCTGCCCATGTCAGACCTAATATACTGTCTTTCTCTTTGGCTGTGTGTGTGCTTTTGATATCCTAGCTGAGTGTTTGCTTTTTTTCCTGAAAAGATGGAGAACTTAAAGAAATAACATACTTGGGGCTTGCTCAAGTTAGTTTTTGCAATACCATAGCCTGTATGACCCAAAAATGGGATATGTTCTTAGTTCTGCTCACTCTGTGTTGGATAAACATCAGCATTGTCTTAAAATTGCATACAACCTCTCAGTATTTAATCTTCAAGGCTTAATGTTTCAAACTGCTCTTGGCACATACAGGTCCATTCCTGCCTTGCTGCTCTTTTGATTTTAGCACAGCATCATCTAGCAAAAAGAATTATTTCTCTTCCTTCTCTTCCACCGCCACTGTGGCGTCCACATGTTGTCAGCTCAGTAGAGCAGGGCTTGCCCCTTACAGCACACTGAATACCAGTATGCCATATCATCTACTCATTTATTGAGCACTGCTTTTAACATGGTTTTCATGGCATTAGGCTGGCTCTGTTGCATTTATCCAGAGTTGTGGCAGAGCTAATTACAATGCCTTAAGGACAGACTAGAAATAAGTTGCGCATAAAATACACAGACATGCCTATATCGTGTGCCTGTACACAAATGCGTGTTGCCTGGGAAGTGAACAGAGGGAGCCAGAGCTCTGCATCCGCATGCAGAATCGTACCTCCATTACTGAAACGTGGTGGGAGAGCTTCCATGGCTGAGTGCTTTTTGTGTTGGGGCCAAACACCACGTGCCCCAGGAGAAGGGTTCTGTGTCATCAGGACCTGGCCCCTGGTGGGATTGTCTGGGGAGCTGTGTGTGCGTGGGGAGGTTTAGCTGTGGCACAGACCTGAGCCTTCCCACACCTGCTCCAGTGACCTCTTTGTTCAGTGACTTACTGTCCTTAATAGTGTCCTGAGTGCAAGCGTTGTGAGAGGATGAGGGTCTGGGCTAAATGCCCAGCTGCTCTGCTTTCCTGGGCTGACTGGCACAACAGGGCAGGCTACATTGAGCTGCGAGTTTTGCTGAAGCAGTAAAAAGAATGAGGAGAGAAGGGTGTTGAAGGCCTTGGGGGGTCCAGCTGTGTTTGTGTCATTGGTATCTCTAAAGGCCTGGTCCCAGTTAGCCCCTGACACCAGGTTTGATGCTGTCTCTTCTCTTTTACATGGCAAAGTTCCTGCAAGCCACTGTATAGCTTTCACTGCTAGGGCTGCGAGCAAAGCCTCGCACTGCAGAACAGAGCGTGGTGTAGGGGGGATCGTTGTGGGTCTGAGCGGTGCAGGGCAGGCAAATTGGCTGTAGGAAGGTCTTGGACTTCTGTGAAAGGCAGGAGCTATGTTTGCCATGTGCCTGGCTTCCCTGGAGAGGTACTCTGAATTAGCAAAGGGGTTTGAGCCCACAGTCCAGGGGGAGTTAGGGAAAAGATGGCCCAGTTCACGCCCTTATTGCTGGCAGAAATCACAGCAAGCTGTGCTGCAGCTGCTGCCCTCTTCTTGCATCTCCAGTTTCTACTCAGAGCCCTTGGGTGAGTCCTCTTTTGCTTTGACAGAGGGCCAGGAGGATTTGCAGAGTGTATGGCTTGGCATTGTGCCCAGGGAAAGGCTTTCCTCTCCTGTTTCCATGAAGGTACTTCCAGAAGAGGCCGAGGAAGGGGCTGTGCTACTTACACATGGGGGGAGAGAGCTGGTGGTATGTCTGTCTGAGCCCACCAGGGACAAAGCAGTAGATAACCTGGACTCTGCCTGAGGCCTGGAGTTCTCTGCTTGTGTATGAAGGGAAGTCCCCTCCCAGGACACCTCACTGGCACATGTAATACTGAGACAGGCAGGAGCTGGGGCTTCCCCAGTGTTTCCCTATCCACCTCATGCCAGGGGCTCCTTTGCTGTCTCTGCGTTCCCCAAAGCTGGCTGCAGTTCTGTGGTAAAAAGTGCTGACCCCAGGAACACACAGCTCTTACTGAGAAGGGCATGGTTGTGTTGGCAGTGAGGTGCTGCTCATGCTTTGCTCTGCTGGGAAGGAGCCTTGCAGGCAGCTGCAGGGTGGCTCCTCCTTGGGCAGTCAGAGCAAGCAGAGAGCTTCTTGCCTTCTCACTGGGACCTTCATCCACAGCCTCAGCAGATTCTTTAGAAATCATCTTCTGCCCTGTTAGAGGGTAGACTGAGCTTATGCCTGCCCGTCTCCCTCACCTGCTGTCAGCCCCAGTGCTCTCTTTCTGGAACCCATTGAACCGGGGCCTGTTGAGGAGCAGCTACAAGCTTTAAGCCAGCTCCGATGAGCCTTGGAGAGTCTAAAATCACTTGTGAATAGCTTCTGCTGGGCAGCAGCAGGAGCAAACCATTTTCCAGAGCACTGTAATGCTAAATTCAGCGAGGCCTAGTAAGTCACAGGCTGTGCTGCTGCAGAGGGTGTGTTAGGGGAGAGGCATCTCTCATGGTGAGAAGGCTCAGGTTGTTTTTGGACCATGCAGAGAGGTGTCAGGTTATGTGATAAAAAGCTCATCTGCATACCCACAAAGCAGCACGCAGTGGCTGGTGAGGGAGCCCAAATAATGCCCTGCCCCAGCACAATGGTGGACAGAAACCCCCATTATGAACTTGGAGAAAGGGACAACCTTCTCTGGGCTCCTGCAAGGGCTGTTCTGGGGAGCTGCAGACTAGTGTCCAGGGCTGACATAGCTCAAGATGGATCAACAACTGAGCGGGGTTACTGTATATATTCCCACTAAAGGACCTCCACCCTGCTCAGCCGGAGTGGGACGGGATGAGGTTGTTGGTGCTGCCTGTGTTCCTGAGTGCTCTGCATGTCTGTGTTGATCTCTGTGGCTGGCCATTTCTATAGGTGTATATACGTGTTACAGATATGCATTTGTGTGTGTGTGCCTTCTGGGAATACATTCTCAGCCTTGCTGCTGTTTGGACCTCGGGGCATGGAGTGGTGGCAGCCCTGCCTTGGTCAAGCTGCCAGATCTGGCCCCATTCCCTGCCTTTCCGCCTCTTCAGACTGTCCCCAGAACAAAGGTTGAGTTTATAAATGCTGCCCAAGCCCCCTCTGCGAGGGGACCAGGGCCCCAGACTTTGCCCTAAGCCTTTCCACTCGTGCGCAGCTCATGTTATTTCTGCAGTGAGATCTGTGGTGGGTTCCTGCAAGAGCAGGTGTCCCACACTGAGGAACCTCCTGGCCTGAGGCAGCAGCTTGGAAGAGGATACGGGAGGGGAGGTGACAGGGTGTAGGCACAGGGATGTCATATCATAATTTGATCATGCATTTCCCTCCAAAGCCAGACAAGAACGTTTTGTCCATTGGCCACCTGTTCCCATAGCTGGGTTACCCAAATAGCCGCTCATGTTCTGGAAACAGAAACTCTTGGAGCTGTTCTGCATGACAGGCTCTCTGTCTGCTCAGGGTGCAAGGCAGCTGCTGCTTTGACAGCCAGGGCATCCTTCTCAGCCCATTCTTGGACTAATTGAGAGGCTTTTCTTTGTGGAATGGAACTGGCTGGTAATTAGAGATGTCTGCCTCTGTTCCTGCTAGATGTGAGAAATGAGGTGTAGCCCAGGTGTACAGGGCCCTCTGCATGTAAAGGTATATGCACACTTGCCATGTGGCTGCCCCTTTGTGCAAACTGTTGTTAAAAACTCGAGGTCCTGCTGTTGCCTCCGTGTTTCCCAGTGGCCAGGGCAGTTGTGAGTATCCAGCCCCTTGAGAGTATTCATCTCCCTGTAGCCAAAATACTCATCTGTCCAAGTAAGGCTCAAATGAAATACAGTAGGATGCTTCTGCTTGTCTTTGTCCTTCCCCTGCCCTCCTCCTGGAGGGAGGAAGGGACCTTAGCAGGTCGGTAAGGGGCATCCTGATGCACAGTTTAGTCTGTTGCAGAAAATTGTTCTTTCATCAGGTCCCCATCTTGCAAAAGGGGCCAAAGGAGCAATACCTGGCTTTCCCTGGTTCTTTTCTCTGGCACTCCTGCTCAGTATCAAGAGGAGACATGGCCTATGTGAGACTCCATTGGTGGATTCATAGGGGCCTTCATATGCTGCTTGTCCAGCCCTTGGGCTCCCCTTGTGTGACCTTCGTCCAGGATGGGCTCTTCAGAGGGCATTTAGATGCAGAGCTCTCGCCAAGGCTCCTTGCACCCCCTCCCTCATCTGGATACTGCCTGCAACATAGCCTGGCTCATCCTGGTGGGTCTTGAGATAAGCCCTGCAGTCTGGAGAACTCGGCAGACCTTCTCAGGTCGCTAGTGATGCCGCAGCATCCCAGCCAGTGTCTGATTTGGCTGTGGTGTAGGCAGGCAGCAGGAGTTACGTTGCTGCTGCTGCTAGAGTAGTGTGTCAACGAATGGTTAAGGGAAAGGCAAATCTTTGTTCATGGAGCTTCGCCTGATCCTTGTGGCTCCACAGAGCCATCTTCTGGAAATCCTGATCTCTGCATGCTGCTCCAGCCCTCCACTCTCCAACGGCGTTTGCAGTCTCCCGTGTGTTTTTGGAAAAGACCTCGGGAAATTGTTTATGGGAACTCCTTGCCTTATAGTGAAGAATAATGTTCAGTCTCAACTTGTAGGGGACGATGAACTGATTAGTATACACGTGTCTTTCTGTGGAGAAAAGAACTAGGCACTGGAGAGACGTGAGTGTTAAGAGTACAAGTGTAATGGGAACGTATTGAGCTTTATAAGTAACATCATTACTTATTTTACCTGCCCACCACCTTGTTTCTTAGAATACAAATAGAATGTTTCCAAGTTGGTTTGGAATAGCAATTTTACCTGTCAGCAGACACTCCTTAACAGAAGAAATTCATTAAATATAATAGCAGGAAAACTGAACAGAAAGAATTGTTTAGCTGTTTCAGAATGTAGGTGTGGTAAGAGCTTTCTCAAGCAAGACCTCTTGCAGGGGAGGACTGGTTGGGCTGTCGCTGTGGTGGTGCTGTGCTGAAGTGCCCTGGAAGCTCACCGCACAGTTGTGGCACACGGGAGAAGTAGCCATGGGTTTTTGATCCTTTTTTGGAGTCAGTGTGAGTGTGAACATGAGGAGTGGGACTGTCGAAATCCAAACTTCTCCTTTCTGAAGGAAGGCCTTGGGTGGCTTCACAGTGATTTCTAGAAACTGCTTTTTTGGGAACATCCGCAGCACCTCCTGAGCAAGCAGGGTGATGCTGAACAGCAGCAGTCCAGAGCTGTGGCACAAAAGGGAAGGAAAATGTCTTGTTGTGCGCCATGAATTCAGTCCTTAGCTCGAGCCAGCAAAACCTGTGGTTTTGGTCAGTCTGAAAGTGATGTTCAAATACACTTCACTCCTCTTCTGCGTCTCCTGCGTGTCGAGGGAAGTAGCTAACTCTGTCCACTAATGCCTACTGTTTCTCAGCCAGCCAGAGCAGTTGATGCTTTACTTCACTTATCTTGGACGCTCTCCACCATCTAGCTCAGGCAGACGACTCTTTGCTGAAGCCGACCTGATGGTCACTGCTCATTTCTGTGTTTTGTTTTCCTGTGAGAGTGAAGCAAAGTGGGGCCTTACCTCAACTTTTCCACTTGTGCTAATTTGATTTGTGTTTGAGCATGAGGCCAGTGCTTGGGGCACTGTAAACTGTGGCTAACCCTGCCGTTGACTTTCTCCCCAGGTCATCATCGAACGCTATAAAGGGGAGAAACAGCTGCCAGTGCTGGACAAGACCAAGTTCCTTGTCCCAGACCACGTCAACATGAGTGAATTGGTCAAAATAATCCGGTGAGTGGGGTGGCCCCAACTGGCATGCTGTGAGCCTGTCCTCACCCACAGGCCCTGAACACAGAGTGGTGGGGTGAGGATGAGGCAGCTGCTGAGGGTGGGGATGGGGACATGAGAACCACAGCATCCTTGTGTAGTGGTACAGACTGTTTGGGGTGTCGAGAGGAGGAAGGTTCTTAGCATCTGGTCAAGTCTGTGACTGCTCCCTCACAGGGACACTCCATGGGCTGATAATGGGGACTCCAATCCCCTTCTTTTATCCCTCAGCTCAGATGGAAGAGGCCCCTCTGCTTTGCCCTTGCCAGCAGTGCTTGGAGAAAGGGGCTTTGCAGAGTTCTGGCTCAGGAGGCCTTGGAGCTCCAAGCAGCTCAGCTGGGCTCATAGACACTGGGCTCCCGAGTGTGTGGGAGGAGGTCCCAGCTGTGCAGGCTGGCCCCGTGTGGGCAGCACTGCTGGGGGGAGGTAGAATGTGATGTCACAGTGCCTACCCAGCTAGGTTGACCCAGGCCCTCCTGCCCTTGACCCCACAGGCGTCGCTTGCAGCTGAATCCCACGCAGGCTTTCTTCCTGCTGGTGAACCAACACAGCATGGTGAGCGTGTCTACCCCCATCTCGGAGATCTACGAGCAGGAGAAGGACGAGGATGGCTTCCTCTACATGGTCTATGCTTCCCAGGAGACCTTTGGCTACTGAGGCCAGCTGGGAGGTGGCATGTGGAGACGGATGAACTGTGGCACACAGGCGCCCCCCGCCTTGGAAGACAACACAACCAGAGGCTCACAAGAAGGGGACTGTGCTGACTCCCTTTCTCTCCCTCCCTCCCCTTCCCATCACCTCTCACCAAAGAGGCTCGTGGTGTGGACTCGCACAACCCTTCACCTCTGTGTAGATTAGTCCCGCCCCCCCCAAACACATGCACCCACGTGCGCGTGTACATACGACACCCACGCACGCCCCTGGGGCCTTGGCTTCCCTTCCCGTCCCGTCCCCTTCGTGTAACCACCAGCTGCTCTCACTGTGCTGTGTCCGTGTGTGTGCACCTGTAGCCTGCTGCCAAACAGCTCAGCCGGTGACAGAGAGAGGACAGGACACTGTCGCCTTCACTGTCAGCACAGGGAGAGCTGCTTCTCCTCCAAGACACTAACAAAGGGCAGGAGGTCTGCAAAAGCAGCAAACAGATGTTAGCATTGCTCCTGAGTTTTAATTGATTTTAATTACACCCGTATCAGATTCTTGGTGCTACTGAGTAGATGTAGGCATCTCTATAGGACTGTGGATAATGTATAGCCTTTAGATTTATTTTATTGGTTTTTTGGTTTGTGGTTTTTTTTTTGTTTAGGGATGGATTGGAATGGGGAGAGGGGGTAATCTTTCCGGTATTCTGTAGGTAGATAAATCGGGCTTCATTGCACTTTAAAGCATAGTAGATGTCAGAGTGGAATTTTTAATTTATACAGGTTTGCCATATATAGTGCTGCTCCTCTATTGATGGTTGTACCTAGATTGTCTCTTTTTTTTTTTTTTTTTTTTTTTTTTTAAGTAAAACTGGTTTCCCTTCTCTCTGTCTCCCCATTGCATGCAATTTTTCAGTCTCAGTGTGGCAGAGTTCACTCAAGGAATGTACTGATTTATATTTGCTATGTTCCCGTTCCTGTTTCTCATGTATTATACCAAAAAAATGTATATGATAAAATCCCACCCAGTTTAATCTATACTAAAGTATATATATAAATATATATATAAAATAAACATAAATTCAAGTCGTGTCTTGTAGGAATGTTCTGTTGCCATCTCATTTGTCTATGTCCCTAGTATCGAGTAGGAGTGATGCGTGTTCCCAGGCCTGCTGGTGCATTGTACACCTGCCTAGGCTTCAGAGCTGATTAGTCCAAGCTATGGCAGAAGCGACTGGCTGAGGTTGAGGGGCTGAGGCAAAGGTGGAAGCTCGGTTTAGAGGACAGAGCAGTGGATATTGATGTGGGAAACACGGTTATCCTTGCCCTACTTGTGATATAGTGTTAGGTAAGTCTCTTGTCCTGTGACCCAAGTTTCCTCATCTGGGGAAAAAAAAATGAGGTGGAAGGCATTTGCAGGGTCTCTGCTTTTAAAGGAAACTTTGAGCAGTGCAGGAGATCTCCCTGGGCACTCACTCAATACTGTTTTCCAACCAAAGGCAGGGGCTGATGGCCCTTTAGTGTTTCAGTATGTTTCCCTGCCCCTTGGCTCACTCTGATTCCTTTGCACTGCCCAGCAGAGAAGGGTCTAGATAACGTTTGCCTGAGTTGCAGCTGACTCTCCTGTCTATGTCCTACTCCTGCAGGGAATCTTCTGTCCAGGGAAGGAGCTGGTGTAAGGGACAGATCCAGCAGAGTGCACACAGGTGGGTAAGCACTGAAGAAAGATGGTGGGAACCCACCTGGAAGCACAGCACCCAGCAGAGTATAGGTGAGAACAGTTGCCCCACTGGTCCTGGCAGCTGTTGCAGCAGTGGGGGTTACCCCTTCTTAAGCACCAGCTTCATGGTATTTAAACTCTAGTCCCTGAGGTAAGGTCCTCTCCCATCCACCTCCCTGTGGGATGGGCTTCTGCAGGTGATGGGGCTGTGTCTTGCTTCAGTGGCCTCACAGCACCATCAGCCCAGCTGAGGCTTCTACCTGTGGGAGTTGCTAAAGGAGTAGCAGATGTGCTTAAACACAGTGGGCTGGAGCCCTTGATTGGGGGATAGTAGTATCTTCAACATTTTAGAGCACAAGTCTTAGAAGGAGCAGCTGAGGGAACTGGGGTTGTTTAGCTGGGAGAAAAACAGGCTGAGGGGAGACCTTATAACTCTTTACAGCTACCTGAAAGGAGGTTGTAGTGGGGTGGGTGTTTGAATCTTCTCCCAAGCAACAAGTGATAGGATGAGAGGAAATGGCCTCCAGTTGCACCAGGGTAGGTTTAAATTCGATATTTGGAGAAATTTCTTCACTGAAAGGGTTGTCAACACTGGAACAGGCTGCCCAGGGAAATAGTTGAGTCACCATCCCTGGAGGTATTTAAAAGACATAGATGTGGCACTTAGGGGCATGGTTTAGTGGTGGACTTGGCAGTGTTAGGTTAATGGTTGGACTTGATCTTAATCTTTTCCAACCTAGATGATTCTGTTCTATTCTAACTAGACCAGGTTGCTCGGAGCCCCATTCAACCTGGCCTTGAATGCTTCCAGGGAGGGGGCATCCACAACTTTTCTGGCCAACCTATTCCAGAGCCTCACCACCCTCACAGTGAAGAACTTCTTCCTTATACCTAGTCTAAGTCTACCCTCTTTTTACTACATATCCTACAGGCCCTACTAAAAAGTTTGCCCCCATCTTTCCTATAAGCCCCTTTCAGCACTGGAAGGCTGCTGTAAGGTCTCCCCGGAGCCTTCTCTTCTCCAGGCTGAATAATCCCAACTCTCTCAGCCTGCCCTCATAGGAGAGGTATTGTATCCATCTAACAATTTTTGTGGCCCTCCTCTGGACCTGCTCAAGCAGGTCTGTGTCTCTTCAGTGCTGAGGACTCCAGCACTGCAGGTGGGGTCTCAGAAGAGCAGAGTAGAGGGGCAGAATCACCACCCTTGACCTTTTGGCCACGCTTCTTTTGATGCAGTCCAGGACAAAGTTGGCCTTCTGGATGGCGGGTGCACATTGCTGGCTCCTGTCTAGCTTTTCATCCCCTATCCTTGTCCTTCTTCCAAGCCCTACGTGAAAGGCCAGGGTGGCTCTGGCTTCGGCCTTAACCACCCGTTCGGTAGCTGAGGCAAGAACTAGCCAGGGCCAGCAATCCCTTGTGGGCCTGCCTGTCCTCAGACTGAAAACCCCACTTCCAGGCCCCAAGGACCTCGGCAGCCTACAATGGACTCCTCCTGGTGCCCCTGTGCAGCAGCCTGGAGGACCCCAATCCCTCTCCTCCAAGCTGCCTGTCTCTGCTACTGCCAGGTGCAGGGACTTAGAGGGAGCTGAGCAGCTGGAAGCTGATGGAAACTCCCCGACCCTCCTGAGACACTGCGGACACTGTCCTGCGGAGGGGAGCCCAGGCCTGACTTGAGCCCAGGGCCGACAAGGGGAGCTGGGGGCCAGGCCCAGTGCCCAAGGGGCAGCCTTTCTGGCAGGCAAAAGGGCCTCCTGGGCCACCGTCCGAGCCACAGCAACGTCTGTTAGTGACCAGTTTTCTGTTACAGAAGCAGGCAGACCTGCAGCTGGCCCGCAGCTCGCTGAGCAGCTTTCTTGCCCTCTGTGCCAAATCATTCTTTAGTTACTAGTTACCAGTGCTGAGCTGTTAGAACTGCAATGTCGCCTTCACTGCTACCTGTTTGAGGTGTCTCCTTGCGGGACTGAAGGCCTCCTGTCCCCAGGAGATGCTGCATGGGAGACGGTCAAAGGCCCAGCCTGTGGCACGGTGGGTTAGTGAGTTCCCATTCAAGAAGGGGGTTGCTCCCACAACTCCCCTTTTGGTGATCCCTGGTATGGGCTGCTTGAACCAGCACAAGTGCACTATTTGGGGCTGACAGTGTACTTGACTCCTGCCTGCGGACAGAAGCGGCCCAAACAACATG